CCACCCTCGGTATATGGGGCCGGCGCCTTACTCACTGAGCCACAGGCGCCTCCCACAAACAAAACTTAATAGCTGGCAAAAGGTTCCTGTCTCTTTAAGCTGGAAATGACGGGTAAAGTGGCAGTAGGCCCCCGGAAGGTTCTCAGGTGCGTGCGCAGAGGCGAGGGCTCTTTGAGAAGCGGCACTTCACATAAATTTCCTGCACTTTGATTTGTCCCCAGTGGCGACTCGTAGAGGAATTTGCAGCTCCCCTCCTGATTGGCCGTGTGTCGCGCGTTCTGGTGTGCCTGGGGCTTGTGCAGGGTCGCTGGGCCGGTAGCGGAGATGTCTAGCCGGTCCAAACGGGAGTCTCGTGGTTCCACCCGCGGAAAGCGTGAGTCCGAGTCCCGGAGCAGCTCAGGTCGCGTTAAGCGGGAGCGAGATCGAGAGCGGGAGCCCGAGACGACGAGCTCTCGGAGCAGCCCTGTGCGCGTGAAGAGGGAGGTAGAGCCGGCGAGCGCGCGCGAGGCCCCGGCTCCTGTGTTTCCAGCGGTGCGGGTGAAGCGGGAGCGTGAGGCCGACGAGGACTCGGAGCCAGAGCGGGAGGTGCGAGGTGCGAGGGGCCGGGATGGGCTGGGCGCGAATTCCATCCTCGCGTTCTTTTTCTCTCCAGCTTTTCGCTACTTCCTTGCTGGGGCGGCGGTGGGGGTGGGGGTGGGACCTAGACTCGGCGGCATACAATATTCCTAACAGCAGCAGCTTCTCTTTATCCATTGTCTAACATGACGCTGTGCACAGTGTAACGTTAGTGCTGTTTTACAGGTGTCACTCTGTTTCGTTTTTACAAAAGCTTCAAGGTGAGGTGTCCTGTTGTAATTTCTCAGAGTGGAGAATCTGAGCTCTTGGCTCTTGCGCTAAAGTGCTGGTTGTATACAACTTTTCTTTTTTTTTTGAGACAGAGCCTCAAGCTGTCCCCCTGGGTAGAGTGCCGTGACATTACAGCACACAGCAACCTCCAACACCTGGGCTCAAGCGAGTCTCCTGCCTCTGCCACCCAAGTAGCTGGGACCACAGGCGCCCGCCACAAC